ACAAGGAGCGAGAGAAACTGACTTTTCTTAAGGAGAAACTGGAGTGGCAAAATAAGAGAATTGAAGAACTGGAAGGAGAGAGAGATTTTCTCCGAAGTCAGCTATCATCCCTTACAAGTATGAAACTAGACTTGTTCCATGAACATTGTTTTTATTTTACAGTCTTCAAATAAACATTAGATAATTTATCAATCCCAGTGAAGTTCCCTTATTGTCATTGTGTTGATTAAAAGATTTTAGTCAGTTAACTTTAAGTGTTGTGCTAGTTCATTCCTAAAGAGATCTGGTTCCAAATTCAGTTCAGCCAGGTCTAACTTGATTGATTCAATTTCATAGTTCATAAGATCATAACTCCAACTTGAACTAGTAATAACAATCAGAATTAATATAGTTATATATATATATATTAGGGGTGCAACGATATTCGTATCGATATTGAATCGTTCGATACAGTGCTTTCGGTTCGGTACGCATATGTATCGAACAATACAAAATTTGTAATTAATTTTATCAACTTTCCTTCTGACAATGCTGTCTGTGTTGAGCGCTCGGTGAATCTGCGTTCGACTACTCCGCCTAGGCTCGAGAGTGCAGCCTAGGCGGAGAAGTCGAACACAGATTCACTGAGCGCTCAACACAGACAGCATCGTCAGAAGGAAGAGCCAGGGCAAGCTAGCGAGACAGAAGTGGACCTCCCCCACCCTCATTCAGATCTGGCGTTTGGAATTATTTTGGTTTTCATGTGACGTATGACCCTGAAGGTAAGCGAGTCATGGACTAAAGTAAAACAGTATGTTGGATGTGCCATGCAATGCTCAATTACATGGGTGGGAGCTAGTGTGTTAGCACAGTTAGCTCGTTAACGTGTTGGCCGTCTAGCCCCATGCACGGGGCAATCGGCTTTAGCTCGTTAACGGAGATTTGCCGTGTTGTGGCGTTAAGGTCATTTCAACGAGATTAACCTGAAAGCACTAGTGGGAACACAACGAATATGACTGCACAAGCAGACAAAAACAACAAGCACGCATGCTACAAACTTTAGCCGAGTCATTTAAACAGCTGTTAGCACAGGATTCTCCTTATGGAGACCTGATATGTTTAATATGCTGCTGAGAATATAGCCCAGTAGAAGCGGATAGTATAGCTTTTATTTTGGAAAGAGACATTTCTCTGTAATAAACTCTCTTTTCCAAAGATGAGTGATTCCTCAATCAGATACAGGGCTCGCAATATCGCTAGCCCGACTTCCCGGGGCTAGCGATTTTTTCAGTCGGGCTACCAAAATCTATCTCTGCCCTGCCCGTCGGGCTATTGTAGGAAGGAAAATATATGTCAATGCTTTTGCATTCTTTCAGAAATGTAGCTGGGTAATTATGTCATTGGCATCGGCGAGCCACTGTCAATTAGTGATGGGACGTTCGCGAACGAAATGGCTCTTAGAGCCGGCTCTTTGACGTGAACGACGAGAGCCGGCTCCGGGTTTTTTTTTTTTTTTGGTTTTTTTTCTCTCACCCTCTGTCTCGCACTTTTTTTCCGCTTCACTCTGCACGCGAGCCTTGTGCTTTACGCTGGGCAGAGGGGGGAGGGGCGGTAGTTACACTCAGTAGCACAGGAACAGATCCAGAGGGGGAGAGAGAGAAAGAGAGCCAGGGACAACAACTTCACATTAGAAAGGTATAGTAATCATCCACAACTATTTTCGGTTGCAGATGATAAAGGATTCATAAAGTGCGGATTCATGCGGGCCCATATGACAGAATGTGCATGTTCTTTTTGTTTTCATATTATAATTTATATTTAATTGTGTTTTGCAGTGTTTTGTGTTGTTTTCACTTTAAATTTGTAAAAGGAAACAGCTGAAAATTTAAATAGTTAAAAGTTGAAATGTGAATAGTTGATTTTTGTATTATATGATTTATTTATTACATTTTATGTGGCGTGAATAAATAAAAGTATATTTACAGTGGTCCCTAGAGACAAAGCACATACAAACTTCAAATCACGTACGAACTCTGAAGCATGTACAAACTCCAAAACATGTAAAAACACATACAAACTCCAAAACACGTAAAAACTCCAAAACACGTACAAACTCCAAAACACGTAAAAACACGTACAAACTCCAAAACACGTAAAAACTCAGAAGCACATAAAAACTCAAAACACTTACAAAAGACAACAGAAGTGCTCCAGGATGCTGGGCGCAGTGTTGAGCTTTTGTTATCTTGTGGCTACACAATCCAGCAAGTACCAACGACCGGATTTGGTGTGTGATAGTAACAGGTAGATGAACTTTTTTTTTTTAATTATTTGAATATATTTGAGTGCCTGTGTATAAATACACAAACAATACACACATGCTTTCAATTGTGTAATTTAAGTGATCTAGTAGCTCTGCTTTGGAAGTTCAGTTCATGCTAGAAATGTGTTTTGGAGTTTGTACGTGTTTTGTCTCTAGGGGCCACCGCATATATTTATATATAAACATATATAAATAAAACCACTTTTTTACGTTAGTAATTCCTTTTGTGCATAATTTTATATTATTGTGAATAATAAATTAATTAAAGCAACAAAACAACCTGAAGAGCCGGTTCGGAGCCAAAAGAGCCGGCTCTTTTTAGTGAGCCGAGCCGAAAGAGCCGGATCTCTAAAAAGAGCCGGAAATCCCATCACTACTGTCAATATGTGACATATTGAAATCGCGTTTGAATTTGCGCTTGTTTTTTTTGCTTTCACTTTGCAATCGCGCGAACTGTGTATAGAGAGCGACAGCACTGATCTGTGAGTGATGATAATTTGTGCACCAATTCCTCTGACATCGTCTTATTAATTGTTAGCTTACTATGCAAACATGACAAGTGAAATCTCCCGCAGCAAGTTCAAACATGTGAGAGGTTGATCGCGCAGAGAATCGCTGAGCTTATGTGAGTGCGTGTGTAAAAGCAGCAGGATATATATTTTAGTTCTGCTGAGCCAAATAAGACAGGTCAGGGTGAAGAAGTGACAGCCAAAGAAAAGCTTACCACAAAACGGAGAAGTTATGACAAATCAGACTATAAGGCAAAAAGAAAGTGCAGCTTTATGGTTAGCGAGCTAGCGATATTGCGAGCCCTGTATCTGATTGAGGAATCACTCATCTTGGAAAAGAGAGTTTATTACAGAGAAATGTCTCTTTCCAAAATAAAAGCTATACTATCCACTTCTTCTGGGCTATATTCTCAGCAGCATATTAAACATATCAGGTCTCCATAAGGAGAATCCTGTGCTAACAGCTGTCTAAATGACTCGGCTAAAGTTTGTAGCATGTGTGCTTGTTGTTTTTGTATAAGCAGCCTTTCAACGCCTCTCTCTGTCTCTCGCTAGCAAACTTGACCCAGACAACAAAGTAAAGCTAGTTTTCAGCTACGAGCCCGACACGAACCCGACGTATTAGCCAGAGGTCCCTTTACTACGGTTCGGAGCCGCTGACCTGTTTTATATACGCGCTGAATAGTTTTCTACACGAGATCGCTGCAAAAAGTGCAGCCTTACCTAATGACCACCTACTGTTACTCATTTATATTAAGATTTTAACATCTAGTTGGTATTGGTATGGCGAGTAGCCTTCAGTAATAGTAATAAATCACACAGCAATAGTACATTCATGTAGTTGTAAAGTATTCAGAATACATTGCTTCTATAATCTTTGGTGGAATACATTTTAAAGTTAACCTTCCCAACACTGTCAACAGGTTAGCACCTCATACCACAGTGCAGCAAAGCAGTCTCATGAGCGCTGGGAAGGACGAGCCCAGAGCCCAAAACAGACAGTGCAGGAGATGACAAGGTTAGTAATTGAATGGTGAAAATTATACTTTATCTTGATTGGCAAAAAAAAAGTAAATACAAAATCTGCTTCTCACTTTTAGGGCATTTCCAAGATTTTTTTTTTTTCAAAACTTCTTCAATTTCTTTCATTACAGCTGTCCTGTGCCAGAAGTTCTGTTGACCCACAGTGAGAGGCATCATTTCAGAAACACCAGGAAGACTGAAACTCGTCGCCAGGATCAAGCAGGACTTGTGATCTTCAGCTCCCTCACAAGAAGGATAAACCCAGCATTTCATGAACACTGATGGACACCTTTGCTTTGTGTAATGTTAGAAGTACTCAGATAATCCTCAGAGGGTCTGGACTTTTACATAATATCATAGAATAGAATAGAATTCAACTTTGTTGTCATTGCACATGCACAGGTACAGGGCAATGAAATGCAGTTTGCATCCATCCAGAAGTGCTTTAGCCATGATATAGATATATTACAATATATATAAGCAATAATATAGATATGTAAGTATATTACAGAAATGGGTCTATTATGGTATGTTATAATGTACACGGTATGAAGTATGTTAAGAATATTCTATAACTATAAGTATGTACAGGCTGTAGTGAGTACAAACTATGTACAGGCTATGAACAGGATATAAATATGAAAAACTATACAGAAATCTGAGATATACAGTTATACAGAAATGTGAACTATGCAAGTTATAAACAGTTGTAGGATTAAAAATTATCATATGTACAGAATGATTATTTACACAGAACTATACAGTAGTGCAGGTAAGTAATAGCTGTAGCTATAAGCTATAGTAATAGCTTTAAGTCCTGTAGAAAGTTAAATATATGTTGTGCTCACTGGTTACTCTAGTATGAATGACTCTGAATTACTTTATGATAAATAACACACTATTGTCAAAAAACAGTGAAAGAATTCCAGATCACAAGTTTTTAGTTCAAATTCAAATACAATACCTTTGACTTTAATCAGGTTTTATTTAATTGTGTCAGAGAAAACATCATGTGCTCTTCATGTAGCTGAGTACATTCAGTGTTTAAAACAGAAGTTGTGCAGGTCTGAGATCAGCAGTTTTCTGAAACACCAAACTGAGGTACTGTTAATGCTGATGTATAGTGACACAGTTACAGGGGTGATTAATCCTTTTGACGTTTTGTCTTTAAATTTATCAATAAAACAGCTGCAGCTTTCACTGACAGCACATGTGGTACTTTAACCTTTGTACTGTTTTCTTCAGTTAATTTTGGAGTTACTACAAAGATTGAAGATATAGGATGATCTGTCTGCTGTCACTGGGTGGTGCTGAGGTCTGAATCTGAGGACGGCTCCTGTAATCACAAACAGAACAGAATCATCACAAACTGAAATATAAAGTTTATCTAAAATCTGAAATAGATCCTTCTCCGTCCTCACACACTTGGGATCTGAAGTTGTTCAGTCCTACAGTTCTGCCAACAGCTTTTTATTTTTTTATTTGTTTTAAAGGCCTTACTAACACATTTTCTAATATCATGTTTACCTTTGAGTTGTTGATGCTTTATAAATGGACATCTGCAAAGATGAGATGATGGAGCAGGTTTCAGTCGAGGTTCAGTCTGCTGCTGCATCCTGGTCACAACATACAGAGGTGTTATCAGCTCAGTATTGAACAAGAAATATTAATGTTTCAAATTATTTGTCCTAAAGGATGCAAGCTGTACAGAGTACTGCACATGTGACTTTGTGAACATAATTCATTTGGACAGTTTTTTAACCTGAATATTTGTAACAAACTCAGTAAAAAAATATATAATCAGGGGAAAAATGTAACATTTTAACTTAAGCTGACAAGCGGAAGTAGTTGGTTTCAGTACATAAGTATCGGGCTTTGCTATTTAATCCGTAGCTATTGACTAATGAGGGGAATTTAAAAGTTGGCGTTAATTTCCTTCTGTCATGAACCGAAGTTCCGTGTGCAAGCTGGACCCAGAAGCAGAACACACACACCAGGGTAGGAGAGAATAAAGAAAGCAAGTTTTATTATAACTAAAGGTGTCCCGTGAGGGTAGCCGGAAAAAACAACGTGTGGAACCAGAAAAAACCGAGGGACTGGGGAGGTGAACCGCGCAGGGAACGCCGAGAGCGGGGCTGTGAGAGGCTGCAAAACAAAAAGAGAAACAGATTACTGGGGTGCAGAAAAAAGGCAGCATACGAGGGAAGGTGGAGTATGCGTCTTACGGTGATAGCCGGGCTGAGTGAACCAGAGGGGGGGAGCTCCAAAGGGGTCGAGACGGCGAGGCTGATAGTGATCCGAATCTCAGGCGGACAGGTGGACAGGCAGGTGGCTCGCAAAAATGCCGAGTTGTGATCTGAGTACACAGGACAAAACAGTGTTAGTTCCGATGGATAATTTGTCACAAGGGCTTTTCCCGCAGGTGTACGTTACCGCTGAGAGGCGACTACGGACTGGCGTGGAGCAGCAGGTAGGGCAGGATTAAATAGTCCACCTGGTGATCGCCTGGGATGGGATGCAGGTGTGGGGTTAGCAGCCACGCCCGTGGGCGTGGGCATCCCAACAGCACCCCGGACGCCGGGCCGCGGACCATGACACCTTCCACATGTGGAAAGCGACAGAAAACATGCTGCTGTTTGCACATATTTAATAATCAGCTCTGCACAGGAGCAGAAGCAGAGTCCAGCCTGTTGCTCTTACAGTATAATACTCATAATAAAAATACAGTAACCGTGGTTAATCACTGCGTTTCTCTTGATTTCTTTAGTCAGGGTAAATTCATTCACCTGCACGGGTTAGCTAAACGAACTTTACAAAACAAGTTTCCCCGACAGCCGAGTGCTCATTTTAGCTAGCTAGGTCCTTAGGTAGCTAGCTAAGGACCTAAATTACGGATTAGCTTACAAACACATTTAACTTACCAAAAATAATGCGGTGGGGCCTCAGGTCCTCCTGTCCGGTAGTCCAATTTACTGAAGAACACCTCAGGCTGTCACTTTGAAGTAGCCGGTAATGTAAACGCTGGACCTCTCGGCATCTCCCATTCCCGAACAGACACGTGCGAGTTTGTCCGTGACCGCAGCCGCGTCTTCAGTGTTTTCTCCAGTCATTGGTCAGCAATATAATATATGCAAATCCCCGACCCCCAGCGTGCCCTCGCACACCAAAACAGTGCCAGCAGATTGAAACTGAAAAATGGTTTGAAACCGAAAAAAATGGATTGAAACCGAAAAATGGATTGAAACCGAAAAAAATGGATTGAAACCGAAAAAAAAAATTGTAAGTGAAAACAAAAAAAATTACAGTTTCAATTAATTCGGAAAGGAAATCAGTGGTATCGCACATCACTAATACTTCCTGCAACTGACTACTTTTCAAAATGGGTTGAAGCTTTCCCATTAAAAACAAAATCTGCACCTGAGGTAGCCCAGCACTTGTGCTCCATTATATGTAGACATGGCTGCCCCAAAAGGATTTTGTCAGATCAAGGCAGAGAGTTTGTGAATGAAGTAAGTGTTAAATAATTTTCAGTTACATTTTTTAACTTTACTTCACTGGGGTCAAAGATTTTTTTCTTGTGTGCTTGTATAAGAAGTATAAGAACCTTGTCCTTATCTGTTGAAGCTCAACTCTGATCTTTGCAAGTTATTGCAAATTGAAAGCAGTGTCACAGCAGCATACCATCCACAGACCAATGGTCTAGATGAAAAGACCAATGACAACATAAAAAGGTATGCCTAATTTTTATCTGTTTTTAATAACATTACTTATGTTTTTCAAACTTAATTGTTACTTAATAATTTATTAATTTCTTTACTTCTAATTAAACTTTCATTACTGTCTTTACATATTTCTATGCCTGCATTTAGAGCCCCCCTGAAAACTGATGAATAACCAGCAGAATAACTGGGATCTGTATCTAGAGCCCACCCTGTTTTCACTTCGGTCAAAAGTACACGTCACAACAAAATACACACCTTTTTTTCTGATGTATGGAAGAGAGGCAGTATTTCCATCAGAAGTGCCTGCTCAAGTGCCGGTGAGTGTTTGTCAAATTCTATGTTAGAACAAAGAATTGAAACCATTTAAGAAAAAAACCCAGTAATGTCTTTATGAATATGATATCATCTTGTTTTAATTGCTAATATCTACAAAATTTTAGATTCCAACATCATTCTGCCAGATGACAAAAGGTACAGTGACTATGTACAGTCTGAAAGTGAAGCACAACATGCAGTTAAAGAAACTGCACAAGAAAACATTGCGAAGTCACAAGACAAGCAAGAGGTTGCATACGCCAAGCGGGCCCTGAAAATGTACAAAAATGTTGTGTACAATGTAGGGGATCAAATTCTGCTTCTAAATATGAGGTAACATGGGTGAAAAGGAGGAAGACTTGAACCGGATTTTTCAGGTCCCTACACAATTGATGACTTCAGTGGAAAATGTGTTAGACTGAAAAATGCTGAGGGAAATACTTTAAAAAGTCTATACAGTATTGACCACATTAAACCCTATAGAAGAAGCCACCCTGTCCAAGTCTCAACTCCAACTGAACCTGTTGAGAGTAGCCCATCTTCTGAGATGTGGCCTTGCAGTCCTCAGCATCATCATGAAGCGCTGCAAAATAACAGATCCTTTGTCATTCAGTTTGCACCAAAAATAGCTCAGGTAAAATCAGTCCAAGCACCAGAAGAGCTTGTACCAGTGACCCCCCAGAAACCCAGCACACAGGAAAAAGGTGGCATAGCTAAAAATCTCATTCTGACCGGTTGGTCAATTGTTGCCAGTTTGGCTAGTCAAATGGATACTCCCCGTTGGCCCTTGACCGTGATTTTTCAAATGGCAACTGTTATTACTAAAGAAACTTATCATATTTTGTTTTTTAGTGAAGTGGCTTTGGGCTGCAAAAGACACCGGGCGTGTGGAGGCAGTCGTTGGGCCATACAAATTGTCTGACTCTTCTTTTCGCACACTGGAGGACAGTGGGTGGCTTTCTGATGGGGTAAGTCAAATAATCATTTTTGGTCCTAGTGGTGGTCTGTAAAAATATTCTTTTAATCCAAACAGGTCATTGATGCATACCTGCACTGCCTCATTAGGAAACAAAAGGCAAGTAAGAACGTATGCCGGTTATTTCACAAAGTATTTTATACAATTTTGTAATCTTTTAAAAAAAGAAAAACTTGCATTTGTCAGAAACCCGTGTATCAGTTGTCTTGCGTTGTTGCAACCTCTCTGTTTTCTGGGAAGTTTAAATGTGTCAGCAAGGTAATGTGGATGTTATATTGGTTATATAGTGTATGTAAATAAATCTAAACCTTTATAAAATTAAAAATATTCCACAGATGTTTCTGTTTCCAGCTGAGGACATTTGGTTGTGCCCACTGAACTCTGGTGCACACTGGATCCTTGTGGTACATGTTCACACCTCATGTGTTTTTTCTCTTTTTTGTTTTACTGTTCTTTATAGCAGCATATTCTTATTTTGAAAATGCTTACAATTGGTTATGTTTACTAAAGTGAGTGTAATACACATATTCTACTAAATACAAATAGGTTGTCAAAATCTCCTCACAATCTGTACTGCTGTTAGACCGTCTTGGAAATGAAGGTTGTTATGAAAGGAAAGTTATGCGTAACTGGAGGTATTCATCCATTAATTATCTGTTTTGGGTTGTTTGGTTTGTGGGTTTTTTTTTTCTTTTTATTTAGAGCAAAATGCTGGCTACATTTTAAAAACTTGTTTTGTTTTTATTGGGAATGTTCTGAAGATGAAAGGAAAGGAAGAGTCGCGAGTGGATTGGAAAATGGAGACTCTGCCACACAACAAGCAGATGGACTCCAGCAGTTGTGGAGTTTTAGTGTTGAAGGTATTTAATAAGCAATTGTATTTAATGTATTTAACTAGAATTAAGTTAATCAATTGTAATTACTGTAACATATTTTACAGTTTGCCGAACACTACCTTCTGAGTGGAGAGGTTACTAGGGTGCTGTCCACTCCAGAAGCCATTGGGCTGCACTGCACTGAAATTGCTTGCGAACTGCTAGAACATCAAAGTAAGTTGAGTCATGTGCTTTTGTATTGCAATAGCACTTTCAGTTTTGTTTAAAACTGTTAGGTTGGATGTCAGTGTGTTTATAGGTAATGCTGATGACTACTGTGTGGTTTGTTCCATGCTGGAAGCCGATCCTGACTCCAGTATGATTGAAATGGTAAAACAAATAAACCACAAATGCAATATACAGTGGCTTGCAATAGTATTCGGCCCCCTTGAACTTTTCCACATTTTGTCACATTACAGCCACAAACACAAATCAATTTTAATGGTAATTCCACATGAAAGACCAATACAAAGTGGTGTACACATGAGAAGTGGAACAAAAATCATACATGATTCCAAACAATTTTTACAAATGAATAACTGAAAAGTGGGGTGTGCGTAATTATTCAGCCCCCTGAGTCAATACTGTAGAACCACTTTTATCTGCAATTACAGCTGCCAGTCTTTTAGGGTATGGTCTTTCATTGTCAAAGTTTATATAGTCAGGTGTTCCAATCACTTCAATGGTGACAGCCGCGGGATAAGTCGGTGGTGCCCGGGCCAAGGGAGTCCGCGCCACCGAAGCCCGAGGTTAGCGGGGTGAGCAGAGCGGCCTCACCTCCACCAGAGGCTGGTACCTGCCGGACATCTGCCCAGCCGCCTGCGAGCCGGGGCGCACGACCGTACCGACCGCGCCGCGTCCACCTGCCACGTGGCCAGCCTCCGGACCAGCTTCGCCGACGCTGCTGGGTTCGCGGGCGGCCACCTGAACTCACAACTCCCCGTCGCTTGGCCAGGGCCCGGGGCGCCGACGCTGATCCCCTCTCCCGCTCGCGGTGGGGGAGTACGCTCGGCCGGATGGTTCCCCGGCCTCAGTCGGGCGATGGGGGTATGTGGTGGGGCGTGGCCTGCGGTGCCGTGCAGAGGAGGTGGACGCACCTGCACGGCATCCGCAATCACGCCCCGCCGAATTAAATATTGTACTGGGTCCTGTGGTTGTGTTGTTGTGACAGTGTTGAGCGGGCAGTGGGAGAGCTGCAGCTCTGTGTGTTGTGGACAGCAACCGTCAAAGCTTTAATAAAAAGCATCAAAATGCCACTGCGTCTGCCGTGTATGTTTACAGTCTCTTTGCCCACTCTTGGTATATAAAACTTGTTGGGGGGGAAAAAAAGACAAAACAAACAAACATGTAAAACAGTAATATAGAGGGACCTTTATTGAAATATGAAGCTTTTTAATTCTCAATGATTTGCTGACAGGATATTGTTATCAAGTAACAAAGTATGAAAATAAAACTTATCAGTAAAGAAATAGAGAAGACTTCCATTTAAGATTTCTGTCAAATGTCTTCTCCAGATGATGTGATTAAAAGGTTCTAGAAGGTTGTAAAATTTATTCTAAGCAGGAAAACACAAATGTGACCTCATGACAGCAGGAGGAAACTGTATAATCTATAAAATGATTATAAAGTAATTAAAATTGATAGTTGTAGCGATTGGGATTGTAATTGTACCTGTTAATGTGACTGTAATAGGAAGCTGCTTTAGCTGTAATAACACTGAATGTAATAATGAAAATCAGGATTGCAGTGGTAACTATGATTGTGGCAGCAATGTTGAGATTGCGAGCAGTGGAGCCATAACTTCGTGCACCATCCATATCTCCAACCATCTTCCTGTCTCTGGCCTGGAAGGATGAAAGTATGGATGAAAGTATTTTATACACTTTAAAAACTGGAGTCCAACACATGTTCAATTCCAGAGAGACTCAGAACATCAGATGTTAAACATAATCCTTTCATAGTCCCAGAAAATATTAAGATTCTTATTTGCAAGCACAGATATTTTTTAAACATGCAAAATGCAAAAGACGGTAGCTTATATAGTTTTACAGTTACAGTAAATCAGCTGTTCTGTGTTTATAGTTTACTTTGTCCTGTACTGTCTCAGCAAAGCCATTTCATTGCACTGTCCACTACACTCTCTTACACTCAGACATTTTAATGTCATCTGATATCTTCCGTGTTGCTTTTACTACTTTTGGTAAGACGATTGTTTGATTTATTGCTTAAATAAATTCAGGTGGTTAATTTCATGAAGACAGAATATTAATTTCCTTTTGTTGTTTTTTATTGAATGTTTTTTGTTTTTCCACTTTATTTTAAGATTTTATCATACTGAGCTCTTTCCGGTATCATATTCTTTGTTTTTCATGTAATGGTCTATTAAATTTTATTTTGATTTTTTTTTTTAACTGTGTATGCATATTTTTTATACTCTTATTTCATTTAACTGAACTCCTTTCTTTTGTGTAATTTTAACCTTTTACCATATTGCATGTTAATTTATTGAAAACATATATATTTGTCTTTGTTTATATATTTTTTTATTCCACAATGTCTTTAAGGTTCTGGCTTCTGTAACACATCAATTTCCCCATATTTTGGATAACTTTATCTTCTTTTATCACATAGAGCAAGCACATAAAGGGTGTGATTTCTAACAAAGTAAAATGTGTCACAATAAACTCACCTTGATGGAATAAATGAGAGCTGCAAGTCCAAGGCAAAAAGGATTTGAGTAGACAAAGCAGCAGAGCGACCAGATAATATAGTCTTTGGGGGCCTCTGTGATGACTGGTTGCCCTGTGGTGATGTTCACAGCAGTGTGCTGGACCACTCCAGGCTGACCAGGGAGTCCACCATAATTCGCAGCCTGCAATGGAACGGCTTCAGTTGGGTAACCTTGAGGATGCATCGCTCAAACTGTTCTCAGCTGCAATTTAGAGAGGAGAAAGGTGTAAACAAGAACAAGAGAGTCACCACAATTGTGGCTTTTAAAGCTTTTTGGGGGGGGCGGGTGGCAGGAAGCCCATGAAAACCTGACCTACAACATTCATCACTACAAAATAAAGCACGATACAAAGAATGTATCAAACTGTCACATCTAAATATGAACATGCAAAGAAAGCACTACCAGTCATGAAACCTTTTACATACATAGCACTGCCATTTATAGTTTGAGAAATAACCTTTATTGACTGGATTTAAATGTTATTTTGACATTGTGTTCCTGATATGATGAAACTATCTTTTCTTATTATTGCACAGGGCAAATCGGTTTTCACAGCTGTACTTCACTGTACAGGGCTCTAGAGTGCGACCAATTTGGTCGCAAATGCGACCAAATTTTTCAGTGGTGCGACTAAAAAAAATATTGGGTTGCACCTGTGCGACCAAATGTTTGGGTAGCAAAAAAAAAAAAAAAAAATCTGCAACCTTCCCTGTGGTCAACAACAGACACACATTGGTCGTGTCCAAATTCATGGGCTGCATCCTCCTGAGGCCGCATTTGTAGACCGATTACGTCACAGCGACGCGCCAAAGGCGGTCCAAATTCGTAGACTCCTCCGAATGCAGCCGACAAATGCGTTCTCCTTTTCCCCGAATTTGAAGGATGGGTCGGATGTGTCCCTCGTGGCCTACCATATCCCAGAATTCATAGCGCAGCCCAGCCAAACTCCAGTTTCCAACAATGGTGGCCGCTACTAAGTTTTAAAATTACTCATACTAATCTTTCTGGGTCACAAAATAAACTTTTAACACATTTTCAGGCGAGAAAGTAGCTGTGTAAACATCAAATATCTGCTCGGTTTATCAATTCAATTCAATTTTATTTATATAGCGCCAAATCACAACAAAAGTCGCCTCAAGGCGCTTCATAGATACAGAGAAAAACCCAACAATCAAATGACCCCCTATGAGCAAGCACTTTGGCGACAGTGGGAAGGAAAAACTCCCTTTTAACAGGAAGAAACCTCCGGCAGAACCAGGCTCAGGGAGGCCAGGCCATCTGCTGCGACCGGTTGGGGTGAGAGATAGCGCATATTTGCAAGAGTGCTTCGACGTTTTCGGAGGCGTCTGCTACCCACCAGCTCGATAGCTAGCCGGGAGCTCGATGCGGCCGAGAACGGCACAACTCCCGGCACATCATTTTCAGATCACCGCGGACTTTCCCTGCTCGGGTTAAACGTAATATATAAGTGACTTAGACAACCTAAAAGTGTTATTGTTGGGCTTTTTTCAGTGTTTTGTTTGTTCGTGAGTAAATCGGTTTGGCTGAGATTAAAGTTATTAGATTAGATTAGATAAAATAATGTGGGAGTGCCTACTGGGGTCAGCGGGGGGAGCTGGCCCCAGGGAGGGGTCACCTGCCCCTCCCTTCCTTCCCTCCCCATCTCCAGCTGCCTCCCTCCTCCCGCTCCACCACAACCACCCACACATGCAGGGCCTTGGAGTAGGGGTATGTCACCAGGGTCCCCTTCTGGCTGCCTCTGCCTCAATTTTATCCCACAACTTAGACATTCACATTACTCACACCCTCATTACACATACATATAGGATCTTGGGGGTGGGCACAATACACGGAGTCCAAGTTACCATCAGGGTGTACACCTCACCCCTGGCATCGTTGCCCACCTCTCAATTTTAAATACACTTAGTCATTGAGGGCTAACAGGAGGGACTATGCGCTTACCTGCTGCTCTCTGGCAGGTAGCTCCATGCCCTCCTGGGTTTTAATTGCACCTTAGAACACACATGCATCAACACTACAATGAGCGGGTGGAGGGAGGTTTGGAGTCTTCTCTCACCCCCGTTCTCTGCGGCCTGCTGGAGCGGGGGGGCTAGTAGGAGGAGTTGGCCGTCCGACTGCGGTCTGGGGTGTGGGGCCTCCCTGCTGCTGCGGATTCGGGGCGGTCTGCCTCTCCCCAACACAGGGAAAATGGTAACACCACCTGGGTCTGGGTGCGGTTCCCCCCTCCAGGGGCGGGGGTACCTAGACCCGGTTTGTAGAGTACGCTTGGGGAGTGTGATCGTGTATACAGCGTCTCTTTATGTCTGTCTCCACGTCGGTTGAGTGTGAAGTGCACATGAGAGCATGAGGGTGGGAATGGATGTTTGTGTCTGTGTGTGCCTGTATGTTTGTGTCTATATGTCAGGTTGGGTACCAGACGCCACCTCTCTGGGGACATCTCGGGCCTTCCAAGGTTTGGAGGTCTATCTCCACCCACCACCACTTTCCCCTGCCGGTGGCGGACTCCCTCAGGTGTCGGTGCGTTGGTGGTTCTTTGTATCTGGGGGTGGGCGTCCGGGTACACACCGGCTCACTCCTTGGCGGCCGCTTATTGGGGCTCGCTCGGGCCATTTCGGAGGTGGGGTGCCCCCGGCCTCTCGGCCTGGGGCTCGGTCACTCAGGCACAGCTGGCTGCCGGCGGAGCTCACGGGCGCGTCACTGCAACTCCCCCTGGCTTCTGCTCCGCGGCTGCTGAATGAGCCCTCATCTGGGACTCTCCTTAGCTCTTACTGGGACAGTGGCGCAGCTGCCCCTCTGTGGGTCTTCCTTGGTCTCTTGTGTTCTGGGGGCCTCTGGATGTCTGGAGTTTTGATCTCCTCCATACCTGCTTGATACCATAAAGGACAGGGCTGTGGCTCCCCACACTCCCTAGCAGATCATTACATGGAGAAACCTTTGGAATGCAAACATGCTGATCCACACAGGTATGCACACAGGTGTACACATGGGTATTCACAGACGCGGACTACAGCTTTCTTGGCTGCTGCCTCAAAGCACACTGTGCGCTGTCTATCTTGCGTGCTGCACAATATCGTTTATTATTTAGTAACTATTGATATCTATGACTAGCTAGTTTATTGTGATGGTGCTTTTTTTCTATTATTATGTTGCTCTTTGTTGTTTGCTGTCTCCTCTGTTCTTTTTTTTCTCCATACAGGTGACCCAGGTGTTTTTTTTGTTGTTTGTTTTTTTTTCTTTCTTCCCCCCCTTCTCACCGTCTCTTCTCCCCTTTTCTTTCTTTCTCTCCCCCTCTTTCTTTCATTCTTTCCCCCTGTCCTATCCCACAGTTATGTCTGTCCCGTTTGCAACTGAAAATAAAATAAATTCATAATTATAATAAAGGTCAACCAAACGGACCAATATGGCAAGGCCATGATGATCCACTTGGTAAAATAAATCCGCTTGGCATCTTTCTTGGCCTCAAGACAACAATTCTGATGGCTATAGATCCAAACGGGACAAAAAAAAAAAAAAAAGATTAGATAAAATAAAACTTTATTAATCCCCCGGGTGGGTTCCTCCTTGGTTTTTACACAGCTGACTAAACGTCAAACAAAACTGATTAAACAGAAGTATGAGACAGTCGAGAATTTACGCCAGTGTCCCGTTATATTTTTGTCATGGTCCTGGGCCATGTGGGCCCAGTATTCTTAGTTCCTTGTATTTTTGCATTTCGTTCCTTATTTAGGCCATGTTTTCTGAGTTGCCCTGTTGTGTTGTTCCTTAAGTGTTTTCCCTTCATGGCTTTTACCCCCTGTGTGCCCCTCTGTGTATCTGTGAGCCCTCGTCTCTCCTTATGTTTTATTCCATGTTTCCCCTGCCCTTTATGTCTAAGTTCTCCCCGTGCTCTCTCTCCCCCCTGTGTGCTGTGTGCCCTCTATGTATTTATGAGCCCTCGTCTCCCTTTGTGGTTGTTTCATGTTTCCCCAGCCCGTTATGTCTGTGTTTTCCCCGTGCTCTCTCTCCTCCTGTCTGAACCTCTGTGCCTGTACATGTCATGTTCAGTTCACCCCGCCCTGTCTCGTTATGATTATCAGTATCACCTGTGTTCCCCGTGTGTGCCCACTTTCCTCGTTTACCCTCTGTGTATTTCTGTCTGAGTCTCCCTCTGTTCGGCGTCGCGTTCTCCCTCATGTTGTGTGTTATTCTCCCCGTGGTTCGGTTCCTTGTACATCTCATGCTTTAGTTTTCCCAGTTTTAGTTTATTTTGTATTGCTTCTCGTGGCCAGCAATAAAGCTGTGTTTTTGAGTTTATCCCCGTGTCTGTGAATCTGCATCTTGGGTCCTTCTCCTGCCTGCCACACAACGTATCATGACAATTTTAGATAGCAAGGAGCAGACAGCTGAGTTTATTAAACTCCACCGAGACAGCGGTGACGCTAATCAGAAGGCTAGACCGTCCAATTTCACGGCCGTTTACTTCCGGCCTACCCGACCTTCTGAGGACCCGGCCCACGTAGACCGCGAAGGCCAGGTCCTCAGGAGGATGCAGCCCATGAATTTGGACACGACCAGTATGCCCCTATCGTGGACTAAACCAATTAGAGATAGTAAGGGGCGGGACCTCTCTGATTGGCCGTGGTCCAGTTGAAAGTGCAGGTGGAAGTGGGAGGTGAGTAGCTTGAATAAAGCGATATCAATTCATTAAATCCTGAATCGACTTTTAAATATAACTGTGTTTTGCCAGAAACACCAGATTCTCAGATTAAAGCTCACAAAACCATTTCAACAACAAACAGCAAATGAGAGCAGGTACACGCATTCCACACAAAGACGTAAACACAGAGCGGAACCGACGCATCAGAATCAGCTTTGTCTTTCTCGGCTTTCTCACCCGACAGCCCGTAGACGGACACGCTGTCGGAGCTTAGCGATCCTGATACGTCCGGTCCGCGCTGTGTTTATGTCTTTTTGCCATGATTCTGAGCTGCAGGTTTTGTCTCTCTCCAACCAAAATTCGCCAAGCCAGCAGCAAAAGAAGCAGCAAACTGCGCTTCACATTTGATCAATCTCGTCATGAATTTTGCTGTTTTGCTTCCACGACTATTAAAATCACACTTCATTCACAGCTAGCTCTCTCTCTATCTCTCTCTGTACTTCAAGAACAGTTTCCCGTCTCCAATCTCTGTTTTCTGTATTATTCATTCGCTTATTACT